TGCTGTTATATAATATTGCTGGATTCAAATCTATGTGACATTTTCTGTTCATTTATATGTATTAGTTATATATATTGAGGTTTTTTATTCGCATACCTCTATCATCGTTAAATATAATATAACATATTTTACAATTTATACTTGATAATGAGGACAGAAAAATCTCGCACAGCAGAAAGCCTTTTTAAAGATTATATATGAAACATTTGATTGAGGCTTTTTGTATTCCAAAGATTAAGGAATGTTTAATTAATTGTGCTTCAGATAGTGTTACAAGATAGAGATTATATAAAAAAGACAAACTCCTTTAGTTGTTTATTAGCATAAATAAGCTAGAGAAGTAGTACCTGATGTAAATTAGTTATCATAGAAACCATTATATTTTTGTACGATATATAATATATATAGCTTAAAACGACAACTTCCAACAAATTTACCATTTTAAATGTATGTACAGAGGATGGTACATGATAAATATTAAATAAAAAGGTATATTATATACTTATAAATGAAATAATGAGAAATATTGATGAAATAAAAAATATATTTTCATTTTCCGTATTTTCACTGTAAAAATTTATTTTTCACTGCAGTGAAACATATTTTCCGTATGGTGTCTTGCCGGACTACTTTCTTTTAAATTCTGCCAGTACACAAAATTTAGGGGGTGTCTTTCAAATTTTTATGTCAAAAAAGAGAAAAATGTATATTAAAAACAGAAAATTCAAGTTTTTTTTCTAGAAATACACGATTTATTTTCATCTTGTGGCATGAAAATTACCATATTTCACTCGTGGCTACCGCCACTTATGAAATATTTATTTTCATACCATTTGATGAAAATAAATCATGTATTAATTGATAGAAAAAAAACTTAAATATCCTCTATATATTCGACCACTTGATGTTATTATAGGAACAGAGATCCCAAAGCTTTAGAAATATTCGTCTTATATGATGTGTGACACGAGAAAAGTCAAGACATTTGTATTTGATAAAGGAAGCAATTAAGTCAAGTTATATTGTAAATCAAATATATTACGTATTTTTGTTTGTAATCTATCGAAAGTTTTTATCTTATTATGCAAGATAAACTACTTTTAACTTTTTAACAAAATGAAAAAATAAAACACTTACATCTTTTAAATATGTAATTCTTTCTTCAAATCATATTTGCATATATCAAACATACTAGAAAACTGTAAAAAAAGTCAATTGATATATATCATAAAGGGATGGTCGCTATACGTTTCCGTAATAACGGGAGTAAATGTGCTTTTTGTCAAAACAGTTCTGAAACCATAAATACATGTAGCTATATGCATGTATATTGTTTAGTATAGAGCTTTGATTTAGACATTACATTTCAATGACTAAATAAATGCATTAAATAAAAAAAAATAATGTGCAGAAGTTGTTACCTTTACATTTAAAACTGAAGTCAAGGCTGTTACACTGAAGTAATCCATGCACAGTCGGGGACTTTCTTGATCTAGAAAACAGGGACTTCCTGTTTTCACTTTCCTTGATATGTTCATTCTTCATGCCGATCATTTGAACCAGGTCTTAATTAAACCGAGCGCAAATTTTCAAAACACCACAGTTTATTAAATATTGAAGATAACAAAATAAATAAGATCAACACGGCAAAAGTCTAGAAAAAATGGAATCTCTCAGAAGCATAATAACAACAAAATAGCATGAAAATTGCAGACTCGGTTTAATTGAGTCTGTACATGAGGGCAACATTCCTCACGGCTTCGATTCTACAATGTTGGGTTTCTTTAGGGATTCTGTTTATCGCCCATCAGTGTTATCTGTTCCGTGTGGCGGCTGTAAAAAGTCTTCCCGTACATTTAATCAATGATGTTATATTTTTGATCCTAATAGATCGTTTAGGAAGACATTATTGTTGCGGGTGTAGGTTTTTAGTACTTTCAGTTCTTTCCAATTTGGTGTTTTTTTCAGTCGGTTCCAGTATAAGTCACTTGAATGCTGTTAAATTAGCCTTTCGACATGTTGCCTGCTTGTTATTATTGTCTTTTGGCAGCTTATATGTAAAAATGTAAGCTTCATTATCTGTAATCCCCTTTAAAATATAAAGATTAAAATATTGGTCCATTAAGCGCCTTAACAATCACGTGAACGATATCATAGAAAGGCCATGGTGGTATTCTTATTAGATTTGTCTTTTGACAGCATATCTGTAATATGCAGGCTTCGTAAATTCTATTCCCTTTTCAAAATGTCTTTTATTTTAGTGTTGCCCATTGTTCTCTCGTCACTTTGAATGTGGCCTAAGAATTTTTCCAGACATTGTAGGATTCCTCTAAAACAAGAAATAGAACTTAAATGTCAATATTACTCCAAAAGGTTAGATTGCCTGATAACATGAAAAAGATGTTATTTTGCACTTACCTAGTCTGTAACGAGTAATTATTCCGAGGAAACGTTTGGAGAGTCGCTGTTTTCTTTTGTATGTCTATGGTGTATTTTTATTGTCTGTAGGTGTTGTCTAAGAATTAATTTATGTCCATAAATAACGTTTTTTGTCTAAGACAAAACGTATGCCTCTGACATTCGGTGTTAATTTACAATTAGGTGACAGACGGTGTTTTCCTTCTTTGCGAGTCAAGTTGAATATAGCATTGTAATGGAAATCTCACAACTGTTATAAAGATTTAACTTTCATGATTTGAAAAGGTGAAACTGTAGCAGGACCTATTTTCAAGTTTCGAAATATCATAATAACGATTCAAATTATGGTTTTCCTTGCAATATTTCTTTTTATGACATGAAGGTTTATAACAAATATTGTATACGTGTATTTATACACAACTGCTGTTTATAACAGGAACATATTTCGACAATGAAATATTATTTTTAACGTGTCATCACATTACTTTTTTGTCACCAAAATTTGCGAAGGGTTATAGCAATTCACGTCTGTTTGTGTGTGTGTGTGCGTAAGTCAAAATATCTTCTTTTTTCATATCAGGTCACAACAAGTGACAACACGATAATACAAAAAATATCATACAAAATTAAATTGAATATGAGTAGAAAAATAATACATAGGCTAGCAAAGATCGGATTTTATCAGGGATAGAGACAAGCAAAGTTGATTCTCCTTTTGTTTACAAATTCAAGCTAATTTTTATTTCCGAGAAAGTGTGAGGAAAAATATTCAATTAAGACATATTGATTGAAAAATAATAAAATAAAAAATAAAAGGGTCATATGCTTAAAAGTTAAATGTAAACGAAATTAATGTACACCGAACGATTTTTGATAATATTATTTCCATTTGTCTTGTTATGTCGAGTAGATTATTTATTCAAGGTAAATTACTATAAGCAATCAAGCGTTACATAAGACAACATTCCTATTTATCTATTTTCAGTCTAGTGTCAGGTCAACGGTGAATGCGTGCGAATGCGTTCGAAGCCTGACATATAACCACTCAGCCTATATTAAAGATCCTATAACTCAATTTTTTAATGGTTTTATATCATAAATGTAATGATTAAATGATGATTTATTAATATTGTGAGTTCCAAAAAGCATTATTTGTAAAGTTATTACCGAATTTACAGTTCATGTTAATAAAGAGAGGAAATTAGAAATTAATTTTTTTCATAAAGTCTAAGTCAAATTTTTCAATTAGAAATGAATGCAAATATTTTAATGATTACATAAAATGCATATAAATATTTGCAGTACATATATTACATAGTTTTCGTTGTTTCAAAATTGGTTTAGAATCATAATTATATACATGTATAAAATTTCATTTAAGTGTGGTAACAAGCAAGCCGCCCGGTTAGCTCAATAGGTAGAGCAGTTGACTGTAAATTGGGCGACCCCGGTTCGATTCCCGGACGGCGCAGGTCACTTTCGTTGTGATTGATCATGAAATCCTTTCTACGGTAAAACCTTTCTACGGTATTCGCATTGTACATCTGCTCTGGTATGTACAGAAGTTTCAGTTCCTTGCAAAAATTAAGGCATCTTGACAGCCTGCCTAGGAACGATGCGGTGGTTGTGAATTCTATGTGGCTTACTGCCGTGATCCAGAGTGAAAACTACATACACCACCATGGTAACAACCTTAATTACAACATACAGGATCTTTAAGTAACGCGGGAACCTTCACTTGAGTAATTTAATTGGAAGCGTTGTAAGCAGTATGTTAACGTTTTTAGAAGGCAATGAAAATATTTTTTGTTGAAATTAAGTTTCAAAAAGCCGTGGCACCAGTACCTCTTTACTTCTGTTGGAGTTTGAATCATCAAAGAAGATGAAAGTTTGTTATGAATTTTCCGGCTAAAGGTTTCAAATAAGTCGCGGTCGTACAAAAGGGAATACATGCATCCAAAGGATATAGCAACTTTTAATCACTGAGGCCTTATAAGTCCTTCAAACTCTTATTATTATTAAATTTTTTTCAAAACGGATACATTCGTGTTTTCAAAATTCAAACATTGTTTTGCATTTTTTAAAATGACTTTCACTACTCATGAATATATGACTGCTTGACTTACTATTCTTAAGCTAAAATCATAGCTTAACAAATTATGGTGAATAAAGACGACGAGGAAGTAACAAAAATTATAACTAGTAGGGAAAAAATAGAAGCAAATGTTACAACTGTTATCAATTACAATCAGGAAGTCATAGTTAAGGTTAAACATGAGGAAAATAGGAAGGTAAACATAAAAGTCTGGTAAAGAAAAATTTTCTGAAGGTATGGTGATTCGTTATCTTTTTTATCTCTTGTTTGTCTATGTAAGTACGTTTTGTTTTCTGTTTTTTTTTCTTTTGTTTTTCTTTTTTGTTTATGTGACAAAAGGGTGTCCTTTTTAGACAGTGTTTATCAAAATGTTTGTATTTTAATCTCTGAGCATTCTTACTGGTGGTAGATAGTTGTATTATTTAAGTTAACTTCCGTCCATCAACCAAATTATCCAGATATGAATATGTATGTTTAGCGGGTTTAGAAGCTAACACAGTCTGTAAAACAATGTCTCCAACAAGATTTACTATTATCTTCATGTTATTTTGGAATATTGGTGCAGCAGTAAGCTTGTACAAAGCAGAAGATTTGTTAAAGACGGCGGTTAACATTCTCAACCATCTTATTGCAAATAAACATTGTAAGTACATCTTCAAGTCAATCATAGTTTAAGTGGCATTTTTTGTTATTTAATATGACTTGACACGCTGAAAATAATAATTTTGTCATTGTTAGCAACTTTAAATTATACGATGATAGAAATATTGATGTAATGTTGTCGTAGGATATATCAGTTGATAACATGATATTTTGGTTAAGCTCTAAAATATAATGTCTATATCACTGTTTCTATCTTCATTCTAGATTTTAAATTTTTTTTTTTTCATTTTGATATTTATACATAAAGCACGATTAGCATCCATCTCATTTTCAAATACAGAATAAATACTATATAGAAATATTGAATAGCATGCGTTATCACCTTATCAGTCCTTAATACACAGTAATCTATTATAGTACATAGTAAGACAAGATGGTCACATTGTCATATTTAATTTTAATTCAAATGTATAACCTGTTCATGTATTACAAGGTTCTTCGTCACATCACATGTGTCCAGATACATGGATACGTTTTCACGAGTCCTGTTATCTTTTCCCTAACAAGACATACATGTTTGACGACGCCGAGGTAAATAATGATCAAACAACTACAAATAAATTGATTTATTTTTGTATGTATCGCATTAATACTTGTGAGTTAGATGCAGCAAAATAAAGTTTTTAAATCATTCTGAAAATAATCAATAAATAAATATGTCTTTCACAAAGTTATCAATATCCGGCGTTTTGAGGAGTTAAACACTTCTTTATGTTTTATTTGATGAATCACATATTAAAAGAAAATTAATTCGTGATTCATAAAATGAACAGCAAAGTCTTTGATAAAGAGGGATTTAACGTCTCGAAGCGTCGGAGAATGATGACTTTGTAAAAGAGAATAATAAAAAATATATTAACTTTAGTACATTGTTTTTAAAATTCATAATGAAAGGCTCATTTTACCCAAAAATGTTAGTAATAAGAGTTAAAGTTTTTTTTTTATCATTTGTGTATAGAAGACCAAATACCACTTTGTTTACATTTGGCAAACAATGTCACATCAGTGCTATTTACATCCAGTGACAAATATGTTATATGTTTGAAATCGATTGCTTTTGCCCCTTTATTAAAAGAAAAAAAGCAATCAGTTCAAGTATAATGTGCCTTTAATGCAGTAATAAAATACTATAGAAAGTATAAATATCAGAATATCACTGTAATTAGATAAAATATGCGTAATTTTAATTTCAGTTAACTTTATACGTATTTTTACGGACGTTTAAATAACTCTTAATTAGGACCGTACATACTAAATAATGATCTGCGTCAAACAGCTTTCAATGAAAAATGTATAGCTTTAATATGTATAATGACCTTATCTTAAATTTATGTTATTGTATATTTAAATATACATGTACATCCTTTTGACATAAACATTCCTACATAATATTGCGTTGGGCCACTTTCGTTTGCAATATGATTGGAGCCAAGCGCTGTAAATGTTTAAAATCAGTTTCACAAAATAAAGATTTATATTAAAACAATTGCACGAAGTTAGTTGTTATGCATTATAATTCTTAAAGATGACTGGTTGTTTTAAGAGATTGTTCATACCACATTAAGTTATGACATTTATTGAATTAAATTTACATGAATATTTACATAATTATCATTCCAGCATGTTTGTATTCAGTATGGATCAAGACTGGTTAACATTGAAAGTGATTTTGAAAATACTTTCCTGAAAAATCACATGAGGAGCTTAAAAAGTAAGATAAATAATTTAATTCTATAACCTTTCTTGTACTTGAGTGAAATTACCCCACTTCCAAACAATAATAGTTGCACATTTAAGTATATTGAAGTTTTAATGACAACTTCTTAAAATCAAAACATATTTCTATTTTGATAATTATATCCTAATATTCTAGCAATTAGAAATGGCATATCTGTATAAAATGTGTACAAGTTTTATTTAAGATAAATATCATTTAACCTGTTGTCATTAGAGAACTACGTCTTAAATCAATGTCAAAATTATTCCAAATATAATTCATTTCCTGTATGTCAAGTAAAGTATGAGAACGTTTTAAATTATCACAAACATACTGCATGTGTTACGGAATTAGGATAAGATTTAATCGCAGCATCATCATTATCATTATCTAAGTAACAGATACATAAGATATTATGATGCTTAAGATCATGAATAGTCAGACGCCTTCCTATTCATTGAATAATTTCAATTTTTGGCAGATATAAATAATCGCAATTTGCTTTCATCATCTTTTTTAAACTTTACATACCATACAATTTCGTAAGTTGTGAATATACTGAAGCGTGTATTTGGAACTGCCTTCCTGATTATATCAAGTCTTCTACATCTATGTATCTTAATAGTTTAAATATGCATTTATATCGTGCCTTGTATACTTTTTTGTAATACACGTGTATTATCAATTAAACGTTTATTACAGATGCCAATTATTGGACCGGACTTACAGCTTCTTCAGATAGAAAATCCTGGATTTGGCACAATACAAATACAGAGGCTATGTTTTTAGATTGGAGCGGTCGCAGTCCCAACAATTACCATGGAGACCAAGAATGTGTCTTTATGGAGCATGCATATGACTTCCAGTGGAATGATTATAGCTGTGCCAACAAGTTTAATCCAGTTTGTGAGAAAAACTGGACACGTTTGGGTTTATAATAAAACGATGAGAACGTCTGTGGAGCATATATGTACTTATAACTGAAATATAATTAGTTTTAATATCTTTAAATGTAATGCAGAAGAACTTTAATCGGCTGTATAATTTTGCTGAGGCAGTCATGTTGACCCAAAACCGACCAAATTATTGTGAAAGCGACATCTTTCGCAGATTTACATTTATGGCAGATGATATCGAATTCTCTTTAGAATTTTGACTATTTGCATTTTCATGTCTTTGTAAAACAAGAATCTTAGAATGAATTGGTATAACTTGATTGACAATTTACAAAATTTATTTCATATTTTTTACATAATAATCATTTTGAGTTTTACATGGGTCGTATTACAAAATTAATGCTAACGCTATGTCATTTTTGTAAATTACTTTGACGAAAACAAAACAAATACAAGTACTTTCAAGCTATAAAAAATGTCGCGTTTAATGAAACGCCTGCATATTATGGTATAAGAGCAATATTTATGTGTATAGCCTTCTTGTGCATCTCGCCTTCGTTAACAAATGTTTGTCGGAAAAATAGCTCATGAGCTAGTGTTTTCTGTTAAAATGTATCCGACGTAAAATAAATTTTCTTGTATCTTGTATAAAACAAAATACATTTTTTTCTATAGATAAGATGGCTAAATCTGGAGGGTTGTGGGGAGGACAGCGGTGATAATCAGAATGCAAAAATAGAAAAATTCTCTGTAAACAAAAAAGAAATCTTTTGGATCCAAAACGAGGGTGTGTCTAGAAGACCAAAGTAATTTTTAAAGAAGCAAACAACGGCCAGTGAGAGGACATCCTGAACCTCCAGAAAACTCTGTAATAATATAAAAACTAGACAAAATAATTAATGTTGCAAGAATAAATAGCATTATATGTTACACTACATAAAGCATAAAATTTATATTTGCTTTGCCTGAACGCCTTTGAAAATTTATTTCTGTCATCACAGAAAAGGGTAGGTGTAACGAATAGTATGTCAAAAAGATAGAAATGAGGTTGTCATGGCAACCAAAAGATGTCATTGCAACCAAAAGGAACAAAAGAAAGTTATCAACTGAAGGTTTTTTTTCTTATTGAACTAAAAGGCCAAGAACATGTATATTTTGAGTAAGACATTGTCTTGTGAACCACGATTTTTCAAATTATAGCCCTCGGATCAAACTTAGTCCCGCGACAGGGTAATGTTTTTTATAGATGTATATTTTTATATACAAGTATATACATATAGCAATTTATTTTCTCTCAGATATTTAGAATGAAACATTGTCTAGTGAACTTCTATCAACTTTACTTAAATGATAGCTTTGGGGTCAAAATTTCCCCAACCCCATGAGATCATGGCTTTTCTTTAAATCATTTCTTTCGCTGTAAAATAGTCCCGCTCATAAGTTAAATAATGAAAGAGAAACAACTAGTAATGGAATGGTTTTGTGGTTTTTGTTGTTTTTTGTTTTTGGTTTTTTTTTGGACATGTTATGCCATTTTCTAAAAACAAATTCTACGGCTGGGAGTGTGCCTAAAGGTCAAAATGTAGAAAAAAGCCGGACCGAAATCGCCATTGGCGAATCGTGTAATGTACCGAGCGCATAATCCGCGGATTGTATCAGACCGCGGTGAACCGTAACGCCCCTAAATTGACCTCTTGCAAGACAAATGTTTGCTTTTAAGAGAATGTTATGCAATGAAATGGTGCCGTGACCTATACGAAGTGTAATGGTTTCTTTGCAGGAATATTTTAAAAATAATTTAGGGACATTCTGATTCATTCCACGTATAAGAAAAGCATTGATGCAAAGCATCAAAGGGCGTCCAAGCAAGAAATGCAACAAGTGAAGATGAACTAGTAAACATAATTATGATGACAACTTTTCAATTGTTAATTGGTTTTTACCAGAATTGTATATCACTTATCAATGAACGGACGAAAGACTTTGTCCATTATGAACTTTGATTGGCATGTTAGAGATTAGAACATTACTTGTTATTTCTTTATGATCGTGATTATTAATAGCAACGGATATACATGTAAACAATCATTTATAATCCATATGTGTAACGTATGATCAACAGCACACTTGTGTAATTGTCCCTCATTATGTTATCGCTTTTAGCGAAGACCCCTCTTAAGGTATCTGTTCACACTTAGTAAAAATATGACACTGGTTATATTACCATGTTGATCATGTTGAGCATAATTGTTTATTATACAATAATTATAATATCTTTTTTAATAAAAAAAATACAGATTTTTTGAATATTGTTTTCTTTTCTTTTTTGTGTTTAATCTGCTATTTCAATACTGAGATTTTACGTTTTCTACCCTTTTTTATTAAATTGTAAAATAAATTTTAAGAATTCAATTGTCATATTGACCACTGATTATAAGAGTTGACTACATTTTAGCTCGTTTCAAGAGAAACGTTGATGGTTATAATTATGACAAACTGTGTTCATATTTTAGGATTTGAGAAGTGAATTAAAGACATCTTCATTTGAAATCGTAATCGAAATTCAATAGATCGGTTTTAAATTTAGAAGAGATGATTATCCTTGATTTGAACTTATGATAAAGGTCAAACTTCAGTTTACTTTGTAATCATCTCTATAGAGTCTTTGCTGACTGATAATTTTGTAGTTAATGTTTTTTTATTGAAAGTGTAACTTACGATATTCTTAAGCAGATCTTTGATATTATTGTTCTCAGTGTAAAATAAGAAGCAGTCCAATTATCTGCAGCAGTCACATGCAGCTATGTACTTTTACTCAAAGGAACTGCGTCCTACCAAGGTTTATATTCCTATTTTATTTATTCATTTTTCTATTGCGTTTATGATCACGAATATCTTAACCTTTTTACCATGCACTGTATTCTTTTCTTGCGTATCTGTCATTTACAAAGATTGTGCATGATGTAAAACGCAATTGAGTAAATATTGGCCCTTTTCCAGATGAACTTGGCATTAAATTATCAGCTGCCAAAGAATTTCTTAGCTTGTATAAACTAGTCTTACTTGGCCTGTTGTGAACACTTAAAACTTCACAATAAACGATATAAATGCCTGTCTGTATAAAACACAATAAAACTTGAATTTATCTTTTATTTTACTAAAATGTTTTATCTGATACAGACTGACGTCATTAAAATGAACATCGCTGTTAGATTACTTGCAAGGCATATGAATTTCAATGTGAATGAATAAACATGCGATAGGTCGAAAGCGTACATTGTATATTCAACCTCAATTAGAATAAACGTTATTTTTATATCCGTATTAACAACTTTGCAAATACTTGGCCATTTTCATTAAAATATACTTAAAAAATAGGTAAAAAAGGAGAAAAAGAAAAAAGGAAAAGGTCTTAACAACAATGGCAAAAGAAGGGATCGAACCACTGACCACTGATATATGGGGTAATCACTTATTTGACTGTGCTATAGCGGATGTGATATCGAAAAAACTAAATATAAGCCGTTTTGAAAAAAACAAAAAACATATATTCAACGTCTATATAAACAACGCAACAGGCGAAATAAACATCAACATTATCGCCGTTTGACTCCATTTACAATTTTTTCTACAAATTCAAACTGGCTCCCTAGCTTTGCTGCATGCACATGCGCCGCGCTTTGAAGATGAGAACCAGTCGGCTTATCAATAAAAATTCACGTCTTCACATAACACACATTATACCAATGAAATACTTCATTCCAAACTCATTTTTTTTACCTGATTTTTATTTTATTTTAAGTAACAGTGACTTTTGCCTTGATCCTAACGGGAACAAAAGAAATCTTAAGGTGGGTTTTCAGTTTGGTATAATACACCATGTTTCATTGAATTATCTCATTTAAAACTTTATTGACAAGAAACCGATTATATAACGTAACGTAACGTAATAGTAACAGCGACCTTTACCATGATCTCAAATGCATTTATAAGCAAAATCTTTACATTACCTTGCAACACACAAAGTTCGAATGAAATATCTCATTCCCAACTATACTTATTGACCGGAAAACGGGTTAAGCAGATTTCAATATAGCCATTTAAGTAGGTTACGATATATATTGCAATATCTATCTTAGCCTGCATTAATTGTTTTCCACAAAACCCCTGAAAGCTTCAAAGTACTATATATTATAAAGGTATGCAATCTATTACGCATAAACCCGAAGCACAATATTTTGAATCCACTAATCAAGAATTAAATTTCACATATTTCCTGTATTTATAGTTTTCATTCTACTTGTCTGTATTTTGTTTAACTAATTACATGTATCTGGTGACTGAGCCAGATAAATCCAATTTATTCCTAATTATTTTTTTCATTACTTAGGTAATCAATTAACATAAATATTAACTAATTTGAAACACAGATAGAAGAATACTCAAAGAAACATTAGACTCTTTAAGTATCAAGTACTTACAAAATCCTTCTGAAGTGCTTACACTTCATTTAAAAAAGTAACATTACAATCAACGTTTTAACATTTAAATAAGCATAAATGTTTGCGTATCCAACAAAGTAATGTATGTTCCATTAATTAATTTTTTCAAACACATTCAATGTGCTTTCTCCTATTGCCAGTTACGCAGCATATGATATAAAATTATTGTCCTCTAAGGAAACATGTTAGAATGACATTTTTGTCGCAATTCTTTTTAAAACTAGCATCGTAAATCTTTCAAATTGTGAACTTTTAATGCTTTAAAATGCATGTTATCAAATGTTTAGGTTGCCATGCAAATACAGAAACTTGAAGCAACTTTGCTTTAATAATTTATATTGTACTTTAATATCAATAAGTATTCTGGTACGGATAATCATATCACTAGCGAAATGGGAACGGAGAGTTTAGTGCGTACTCGATTGAGAAATAAATGTTAATTTAAGTCATGATTGTTTACACTGATACATTTGGCTTCCAGCGAAAGCCTAATATATAAATTAGAAGCGCTATATCCCTCGGCAATAATTATTGAACTAGGTTTTCTAGAAATGAGAGATAATAATCTTAATGAACACCTATTAGTAAGGCCTCGAGCTGAATACAAATCTACATTTCATATAGATTACATTGTGCAATAACAATAAGCTATCCGAGAAATAAATGTACCAGCAAATAGGGCGGGAAATTGTTTATTATCCGATTAAATACCAGCGTATGTATAACGGGAGTAAATGTGCTTTTTACAAAGACATTTCTTAAACCATAAATACATGTAGCTATATGCATGTATATCAACAAGGTACAGTCTGGAAAAAGTGTGATCTCTCAGAAGCATAATAACAACAACAAAATAACATGAAAATTGCAGACTCGGCCGTTTGATTAAGTCTGTACATGAAGGATAATGAAAAAGTGCAACATCCCTCACACCTTTAATTTTGCAGTGTTGGGCTTTCTTTAGGGACTCTGTTTATCACATAAGTGTTATCTTTTCCGTGTGGCGGCTGTAAAAAATATCCACGTACATTTCATCAAAGATGTTATATTTTAGATCCTTGAAGATCGTTCAACGCGACATAAGTGTTGCGAGTGCATGTTTATTGTACTGTTAGTTCTTTCCGATTTGGTGTTTTTCTAGTCAGTTCCAGTGTTACTCACATGAATATTGTTTAATCACCCTTTCTACATGTTGCCTGCTTTTTTATTTTGTCTTTTGACAGCTTATATATGAAATATATGCTTCATAATCTATGATCCCCTACAAATATAAAGATAAAAATACTAATTAGTCCATTAAACGCCTTAACAATCAGATGAGCGATATTATATAAGGGCCATGATGGCACTTTTATTAAATTTGTCTTTTGTCAGCATATCTGTGATATGCAGGGTTCATTACCTCTATTCCCTTTTAAAATATATTTTGTTTTAGTGTTGCCGATTGTTCTCTCGTCACTTTCAATGTTGCCTTAGAATTTTTCTAGACATTGTAAGATTTCTCTAAACCTAAATGTCAACATGTCTTCAGAAGGTTAGATTGCCTGATAATAGAAAAAAAGATGTTAATTTGCACATGCCTAGTCTGTAAGGAGTAATTATTCTGAGGAAACGTTTGGAGAGTCGCTGCTATCTTTTTTATGTACAAGGTGTGTCTTTATTGTCTGCTTTGTAGTTATTATCTAAGAATTAATTTATGTCCATAAATAACTTGTTTGTCTAAGACAAAACCAATGCCACTGACATTCGGTGTTAATTTATAATTAGGTAACAGACAGTTCTTTTCCTGTTTTGCGAGTCAAGTTGAATATAACATTATAATGGAAATCTCACAACCATTAAAACGATTTGCCGTTTATAATATGCAAAGGTGAAGCTGTGGCGGGACATATTTGTTTCAAAATTACGATTCAATGCAACATTTCGTTTTATGACATGAAGGTTTATAACAAATATTGTATACGTGTATTTATACACAACTGCTGTTAATAACAGAACAATATTTCGGCAATGAAATGTTCTTTTTAACATGTTATCACTTTACTTTCTTATGTCACCAAAATTTGCGATGGGTTATAGCAATTCATCTCTGTGTTTGCGCGCGCGTGTGTGTGTCCGTATGCGTACGTGCGGGGGCATGTTTTATATTATCATTATTTAATCACTTGAGAATTGATTTGTTTAGATTTGAAAATTATAAGAGATTGATAAAAACAACCTGAATAATGTAGGTAATAAAAGCGTTTATGTATCAAAGTCAAAGTCAAAATATCTTCATCTTTCATATTAGTTCACAATAATTGACAACATGATAATAAAAAATAACAAAAAAAAGATAACACAACAATAAATTAAATATGGGTAGAAAAATAACACATACTTAGGCAAGCAAAGATCGGATTTTAGAGAGGATCCATTTATAGAGAAAAGAAAAGTTGATTTTTCTTTTGTATACAAATTCAAGTTAAATTTTATTTGAGAGAAATTGTGAGGAAATATATTCAACTAAGACATATTGATTGAAAAATAATGAAATAAAAAATGAAAGGCTTATAGTCGAAAAAAAAGTTCATGTATACGAAATTAATGTAAAAATCGAACGATTTTTTTCCATTTGTCTTGTCATGTCGATTAGGTTATTTATTCAAGGTAAATTACAAAGTCCCTATTTATCTATTTACAGGCCTAGTGTCACGTCAAAGGTGAATGCGAGTGTAGCCAGCGACCTATATCCGTGTAACATATACCCACTCAGTCTATATTAAGTTACAGAACATTTCTATATTAAGTAACGTGGAATTCTTTGCTTGATTAATTAAATTACAAGCGTTGTAAGCAGTATTTTATTTCTAAGTTGTCGGATGGAAAT